TGACTTGTTGGGTAAGCTGATCTAATTCCTGGTTAAATGTAATGAAAGAAGAAGTATTCACTTGCAAATGGGAAGCAGCCAAGTAAAGCGGAAGAAAGATTTTTATCAAAATGAAATAACTTGAGGTTCAGCATAAAATCAACACTATAGAATTTAATGTGGTTTGTGGAACTCGTGCTTCAGAGTAAATTCACACACAAAGAGAAATGGTTCAGGAGATTTATTTGAAATGCTTTCTTTGATTTCTCAGGTATCCAGGACTACTGCTCCAACAGAGCCACTGATGTGCAGAACGCAACCTGAGCCCCCATTAGGTTGGACCCCTAAACTGAGGTGGATCAGAACATGGAGAACAAGTGCACATAAGAAAACATTTGAGCATTGAATTTTTTAGGACTATTCTCAGTGGCAAAGTGTTTTTACTTTCAGAAACTATGATGCTTGTTTACGAGGACGGTCCGACATCACTGCGTTCTGCTTCCTCTACCCAGCAGTGATAGATCACTTGAAAACGCTGGAAACAACAACAATGAATAAATATTTACTGGATGCATTCCTGCTTTTTGATCAAGAATTAAACATTGTCCCTATCAGATAAATCTTTGATGAATTTCTTCCTAATGGTCCCACTGAAATGGGAATCTTTAAAGAAAAGTCACACGCTGCTTCGGATTTAAAACACCTTTTGGTTTTTTGCTTTGATTTAAAAAATACATTTTGATTAACTAAAATTGTTATCGACTGTTTTTACATTAGTCCCGAAGTATTCCTGCATTCAAAGGTATTATTTATATTTCATTATATGTTAATTAGACTTATTAGTTCTGAGCCTCTTTGACATAAGTGGGACTTTAATTCTTCAATTTTCTGTATTATAAGGTCAGTAACGCTTTAGCAGTGTTAACATTCCCATCATGTTGCAACATTGAGCAGTCCTCATTAAAACTAACAGCAACCTCACTGCAGCTTTAGCCACACCCACTGTCAACTAATCAGCTCATGGGGTGTTATTAAAATCTGCAGAAGTTATTCTTCATTAAAGTTGCTCCTTATTAAGTTATTGAAGTTATGTTTAATTAATACACTAATAAATCTGAGTAATCTATATGGTTAAATGTAACAATTAGCAGAGTTTTTACCAAATAATGCATTTGAAATACTTAGTTTAATTGTTTACCATGGCCGCTTCTCGATATGCATTCTTGAGCGTTCTCATGAATTAAGAAACGGCCCATGTTTGCAGTGCTTTATGACCCAGCATCCAAAGACTGAAGCTGGTCATGGAGAATGATGGAGAGGTTTCTGTTGACAGTTTAGGCAAATCACAGCTCATTGCCAAACCAGTATTACCTGTAACAGAGAGACAGCAGACCTGGCTGACACCAACTTCAGCGCTCAGAGCTTCTCTGGTGGCTAAACTTCCAGACTGGCACTCCTCAAATCAGGAAGCTGTTCTAAAACATATTCACAGACGCTAACATAAACAACAGATTTATACACATTTGCTTAATTTTCTGTGGGTAGTAAAACTAATGTAAAAGTAGTAACAAAGGAGGCGAAATGTAGTTAACACTGGGATTGCTTTATCAACCCTAACCCAAATCATGCACTGAAAAGCTTCATTTTAGTTTTATAATCATTAACAAAGTTCAATATTTTTAGATCTAATTCCTTCTTTCATATTTGCATGTAGGCATCACTCGGCGTGGCACTCAGACACAAGCCTGATCTCTTTGGCGTTGGATGATGGATAGGCTTGTAAGGTCTCCTCTGCCCTGTATGGAGTAAATAGGTCATTCTGAACAATCATTACCTCACAAGCTGCACAGGAGAGTTAATGTTCCTTAGTCAGTTTTAGAAATAAAGTTAAAGTAAAATCTACAATCTTAGACCAAAAAAAGATGACAGCAGAATTTTCAGGAAATATATTTATGCAAGGAAGTGGTTATAGACCAAAATGTTAGTTTGTGCCCATTTGCAGTTGTCAGCATTTCACTGCATTAAATCTTAAACTTTGTCACCAAAAGTTGAAGCAAATTAAGAGAAGTTTTCTCTGCTTAATTAAAAAAAACAAAGTTTTATTATGAAAACCGATAAATATTGTTCTAATACTGATATGACCACCATTTTCTTATATTTTCACCAAATAAACAGACTTTAAAAGTATTTTCTTTTTCATTTTGTTGGATATTTAACACAGAACATTTATCACAATTTTTAATTGCAGTTCAACTGGTTCACAAAATAAAAGTGCAGTCCTCCCATATTTAAGTTTGGTTTTTAACAATCTAGTTTTTTAATTTTTTTTTTCTTAGCTAAAAGTCAGAGCGAGTCTCATTTTGACAGTCTATAACTGGGATTGCCTGCTGCATGTGTGTGTTTGTGTGCGTCAGTCTGAGGAGACAACGTCCTCATTTGTACTTGCTCTACAGATGTAGTTCCTCTGGGGTTAATTGAAAAACACATGTGAAACCTCCACATGCAACCCACAACAAAACCAAAAAATAAATCAAGCAATAGTTACAGTAATTTAATGTTCACATCCACCTGTCTCTTTAAGGACACAGTTGATTCCTGACATATTGGACCCCTAAACTTTTAGAAATGTATTGGTCTGTAATGGTCATATTTTTAAATTTCATCAAAACCTTTTGTTAAATCCTCAAGCTATTTCAGCATTTTTTATATAAATGTCATATTTTTATATCTTCGAGTTTTCAAGTTGTGTCAAAGTTCAAATGGGTTTCATGGGAAATTTTAAAGAAAACCTGGAAAATAGATTTCAAAGCCATACATACAAGTCAGTCAGGCATTCAGTAGAAAGTTCCAAAAAAATATAATGCAACACACTGGAAGCACAATAAGATGCATGTAATGTTGTACGAATGTAGAACCAATATGATAAAAAAAAAAAAAAAATCAATTTGTATTATGACCAAATAGAAAGAGGAAATGAAGAGAAATGTTTTGAAAGCAGTAGTTTTGGACCTTTTAATCTGACATCCTATCCAGAGATATATAAGAGCAAAGCATGCCTCTTTTCTTTTTTTACTATATTGGTGAAAGACTGCTTTTCCAAAATAAAAATAAAAAGCTTTTATGCTGATATAGTCGTAGCATTTTTTTCATCTGTACATAGAATTGCTGTGTATCCCCTCCCACTCTTGTTGCTGCTCAATATCTGCCAGTAGATTAACTTATCCTCCCGCGCCTTCCCGTCACATATCAGAAAGATTGCTTTAGCTTGCAATATTTTCTGTTGAGAAACCCACTGACAGTAATGAAGGTTTTTTTTTAAACTAAATGATTACTACCTATTACTTACTAAAACTACTCACTGCAGGGTCGCTGAACAGTTAGCCTGACTAGTAACGCTTGTAAACTGCTACTCTTATGAAATGCAAAAAGGTATTTTTGTGCAAAAAAACTCAAAACATGTCACTAAATTGGTTGACTTTTTTTATTCAAAAGTTTTGAACACGGTTCAACATTTTAACTAGCAGTTGAACGGATTGGTTTCTGCTTAAAGCAGTTACATCATGTTATATATCATATTATGCCATTACCATGGTATGTTCATGTAACGTCATACTCTGTGAATCTTATGCTGGCCCATGCCAGGCCCTAAACAGTCTGAGTTAAAATTCCTATCTCTTTCCAAAAACCATGTGACATTAATACTTTATTCCTGCAAGGTTGATGCTGGTGGGAAAATAAACAGGAGGCACCAAAAAATAAAAATGCATCAACACACACTTAATTACACAGTCATTTAGAACATACCGGTCATAAAAGTGCATTTATCACAAGTAACAATATAATATTTGCTCTGTTTTATGATGTTATTTTTGCATTTCAGCTTTCACTTCTTTAAATGTTCGCCTCCACTGGCTTGCATCATTTTGGAAAAGAGTTTTAAAATTATTCATCTTCCTTGGAAAATCTCTAGAAAATATGACTGACTGACTTTTTTTATATATATATATACAGCAGGATAGAGATGCCAAAAAGGTTTAATGACCCTCTGATGATTTTTTTAGGGGGAAAAAAGTTTAAAATTTTTGTTGCTTTTGTTGGGTCATATGCAGAGAATGATTATTCCACTTAATTAGAAGTGGAGCATCATGCTTTTAGGTTCTTTTTGGTTCATTTTTAAAACCAAAGCTGGAATTATTATGTTCTTTTTAAACGATACAAACTTTCCCTACTGCAAGGTGTAGCTTGTTGGTTTTAAGATAAGCAGAGCATGAGAGATATTTTTGGCATGATGAATCTTACCCAAACCAGTTTCAGTCAATCAAAGATGTTATGCAATTGATTGATTTTCCTGCTTCTTGCTGAAATCTAAGGTGGTGATCTGATAAGATAGGTGTTCTTAGTAGTGAGTAAATGTTAACATCTCTGCACTTGTGCGTAAAAGCCACGACTTACGTAGCAGGATATGTCTGGAGAATTAACAATTAAGGGAAGTGTTGCCTATAACTACATCCTCTTATACTGAGAAAGTCCCTAAGTGGAGGAGGTTATATTAAACCTGAAGTTTGTGTTTTTAGATCGAAACAATAAAAATAATAAAGCAGATGGGATTTGTTTGATTTTAAATACTGTAATTATATCAGTCTTGTTTTTTTTATTATTATTATTTTTAGTCTTGGAAAATTATTGAAATATCTGTAAAATCTTCTTAGAGCTTTTTTTTTCTGATGCCGATATGTATCAAAAACAAATGCATCCTTTCAGACTTTAAATCAGTGCAAGCTTTTTCAAATTTCACTATCTGCTTATAACAAGTATAATGTTGCCACCACCAGTCTGATGCGTGCATTCCCGTTGTTTTTGAAGCAGACCTCCCTCTCCAACCACAAAAACACCACCCCACTCACTCCTCCCTGACAAAAGCTGTGTCCCTTTAAACAAAGAAAAAAGAAATGCATCTAAAAATCTATCATCCTGAACAGAAGGCATTTCATCAGGTAAAGCTGGATGACTGTTGGCGAACTATGGCTCAGTTCGCCAAGGTTCTGGATCAGGTGAGGCTGGTTCTCACCTGGGCTCTCCCAGGCAAGGTCTGTGCTTTCCTGGATCTATTGGTGAAGGAGGGGATTATCTCAGAGGCATACAAGAAGAGTTTGAACCTATGCTGGCTTAAAGGGATTGAGCCTAAATTGACCTGTAAACATGGATGTGGCAAGTTGGATGATGATTTCAGTTCTCAGGGATCAACGGCCCAGCGGTACCTCGACCAAGAACCGAAGAGCCAAGCCAGGATAGACTATTTGGAATCTTCTGCCAGTGACCGCAATGTGGAACAAACTGAATCTGTCTCATCAATAGAGGAAGCTAACAGCACAAGATTTAATCTGCAAAAAAACCCGTGGCGCAAATATGAAATCCCTCCGAGAAACCAGGGAGAAATTCAGGAATTATTGAAAGAAATTGCAATGGATGTGTCCTACTTGAATCAAGAGCTCTTTTCCTCACCATCAGTGTATGACAGGATTCTTAGATCCAGCAATCAAAAAGCAGAACCGCTGAGCAGTGCAAGCAGTGAGCCTGCAAGTGATAATGAAAGAGTAGGCAAGGGGAATTTGGAAAATGAGGAGGAGTGTTTAGAGCAAGTCGAAGAGGCTGCAAGGAAGATAGCTGTCCCTCTGTGGCAGCACTGGGACAGAGGACAAGCGATGCTGCAGACCTTGTTTCCCTATGAGCCGAGTGATGGGATGGCGTCCGATGGGGAATACCAGTCCAGCTTTTTGGATATGGAGGAGGAAATAGAGCTGGCAGTTGCTTGCAGGAGCCTTGATGCCTGTGTTGGTGACTCTCAGTGTACAGAACCAAGCTTTGCATGTGATACAGAAGCAGGCACGGCAGAACAAGAAGGGCTTCACTTCTCTACATTCAACACAGCTGCTGTATTTAACACAGAAGAGTCAAGAACACAACGAGAGGCAAAAAACGGTGCACCTGTTGAAGCTTGCAAAGCAGCTGAAGCGGGTTACTTCACAACAATGCTGGAGGACCAGTTTGATACTGGTTGGCAGGCTGATAGGCTGGCAGAGACGGTGGATGACCTGTTCTTTTTGGCAGCAGAAATACTATGTCAACAATGTGGAACAACCTCTGGACTACCAGAAAGTGGTATCAGGCAACACCTTTATTCAGGTGTTACTGAGGACAGCAAAACGGTTGTGCAAGATAATGCTCATTACAGTTCGACAAATGGATTAATAGATAGCCTCAAAGATGTTTTCAGGGACACTCCAGCATCCAGCATAGACCGACTGAGAGAATTAAATGAGAAAAGGGATTTAAACTCCGGTAAGTATGTTCATTATCATCATTAATATTGCTTTGATCCAGATTAGAGAGGATTTCTCGGTCAGTTAAGAGTTATAGCCGTTTGCATCCTGAAAAAAAACATGATTTTAACATCATTTAACATCCTGTCCTGCAGTGCTGTCTGCTTTTTTCTTCTGGTCTTTGTTTTATGTAAAAAAAAAAAAAAACAGTAGCTTCAGTCAAAAACACGTGTGTTTATTCTGTTAATGGGAATAAATATGAGCTTTTTTTTTTCCCTCTGTCCTTGTATTTCTGGGTACTTTCCATATCCTGCCTGATTAACTGCACATCAGCCTTGCAATACCCTTTTTTTTTTTTTTGGCCTGCTTGGCTTGATGTTTTGGTGAACGCCTAGTGGAGATGGTTTACTTTCACTTTCACCTTCTCTCAGTAAAGGGTGGGCTATGAATCATTAGATCAGTCTCAGTTTTATCCAGCAGTTAAAAGCTATGTGATTCATAATATGCAGACCGCATTAACTGACTGTAGAGAGGAACTACAAGGTTACAGTACAGTTAGTGATGTTTTAAAGGAAGGGCGTTTTAGAAATGCTAAAAGTGGTAAAGTGGGAAATTTAAGGTCCAGGTCCAAAAACATCTTGCAAAGTCTGTCGAAACTGTTCATCAAAAAACAAACTTTAGAGAGAACCAAGTCCTAAGTATTTCTCTCTGCAAAGAGTTCTCACAAACATGCATACATTCTGCTTCCTAGAGGTTTCTCACTAAGTTTTTATTTTAGATATTGCAATAAATGATAAAGATGTAGAGTCCTAGAAAAACAACTCATCCAATTTACCATGCTGCTGAAGTCATACAGAGACAAAAAAGGACCAACCTCAACAGTTAGACATGATATCAGACCTGCATTAGTTCTGGTTATGTAACACCAATAGTTGCTTGATGTATGATTAGCGAACAGGTAGAACAGGTACTTTCCGGCTTTTGAATAATACTTCCCATCAATGCTATTTTGGTTTGAATGAACAGTAAGTGTTATTGTTTTTCCAGAGTTTTTGTAGTCGATGGTGGTGACGGATGCAGAAGTTTGCCAGCAGACAAAGGGTTGATGGTTCAAACCCCAGTTCCAGCTTTCGGTGTTGTCCTTGGCAAGGCACTTCACCCTCATTGCCTACTGATAGTGGTCAGAGGACCCGGTGGCGCCAGTGCATGGCTGCCTCGCTTCTGTCAGTGAGCTCCAGGGCAGCTGTGGCTACAATGTAGCTTGCCACCATTGGTGTGTGTGTGTGAATGGTTGAATATAGAGTAAGTGTTTTGGTGAAGCGCTATATAGGTACCGGCCATTTACCATAATTATGTGTTCGGTCATTACATGTCATGTTGCTGCAGTTTGATCATTTCAATTTCAGGCCTTAAACATTTGATAGATTTTATTTTTTTTTTGTCTTAAATTTCTTAAATTATGTCCTTAATTTGTACATTTCTTGTTCCTTGCATGTCTTTTTTGAGACAACTGCCGGTGGAGCTCATCTTTCATCCTTTTGGAGTTGTAGAAAGTTAGTTTACATCACACTGATATAGTATTTAACCCCTAAACCTGCCACTCATGACAGAAAAACCTGCCACTACATTTTTGTGGTAAGCTTCAGTAAATCTGTAGCCTGATGTAGTCCTACTCAATTCTAGTCAGAATATGAGTCTGATACTGCTCCATAGAGCTGTGATTATGGGGCGTGTTTCTAACGAACCAGGAAAAAAAATGCCTCTGCACTCAATTGGATAGACCTACAACCAATAAGAGCAACGGAGTGCGTGACGTATGTTAAGCGAGGCATAGTTGTTGTCCACAAAAATCAAAGCGTGCAGTTTCACGCCTAGAATAAGAAGATGAGCCTTGATCGCGTTTCTCTGTTCCTCTTTTAAAATTAATTTGCTGTCGATATCTTCTAGAACAGACCTAATAGCAGAATCTACTCACCCAAACTCTCCAGCGGCAGCCATTATTGTTGTCACCCAAGCGCGCTTTGGTCACGTGGTTGATAACGTTACTCTTGATCATCTGTCCATCATCATATAAAGCCCGCCCTGACAATTTGATTGGATCGCCTGACAGTGGGCTTTAATACTCGCGCTACTATGGAGCAGAGCCAGACCGAACTTCCCCGACCTCAAACCTTGTGGGCGGGACTAAGTTCGGACTGGCACCCAGGCTAGTAAATCTGTTTGACAAAGTTTTTATACACCACACTTTGCACATTTGCTTTGATTAAGCCACTCTGGAGAGTTCCCAAACATGAAATGACTGTTTTAGCATTTCAGAGCTAGAGACTCCTTTTTGTATCACTATCCAGCTACATGACCATGGTGTGGTTGAGAGTACGGCCACAAAGGGATTTTCTGTAGGTTAGAGAGCAGAATGTATGGTTCCCCAAAAATAATGCTAAGTTGTCCTTGAAATGAAACAACCCCAGACCACCACACTACAACCATGGCGTTACATTGGTATAATATTTTTCCTCCTGATTTGTTGAGTCCCAGAACCCTAGAAATGGCTTTGTAAAGTTATCCAGGTTAATGGATCAATAAGTTTCAGCCCTATTTATGTTATTAGATGGGTTTAACTTAAAAAACTTCTTAATTTTAGATGTAACACATTTATTAAATTTATCAAGGCTTTTGCTGCTGTTTAAACTTAAACCTAAAAACTGAAGACAACCACTTAATGTGAGAAAAAGGTAAATACTTCTATTATTCTACAACAAGATTCAAATTAGCTTGGATAGAGCTTTATATTTGATATCAAAATCTGTAGGAATATTAATAAAAAATTGGTATTGTAAAAAAAATAATAAAAATAAAGGGAAATGTGTTTTTTTTCACAGCACTGCCTTCAGTTAATCAACAGAGGGAGGTGTGGTCCCTTTGATAACTAAACAGTTGATTTGTTGACATGTGGAACTAGTTTTAAATAGTGCAATAAATTTATTGACCTGCATAATACAGGTGCTGGTCATAAAATTAGAATATCATGAAAAAGTAGATTGATTTCAGTAATTCCATTTAAAAAGTGAAACTTGTATATTATATTCATACATTACATACAAACTCATATATTTCAGATGTTTATTTTGTTTAATTTTGATGATTACAAATGACAACAAATGAAAATCTCAAATTCATCATATCAGAAAATTAGAATATCGTGAAAAGGTTCAAAATTGATGGCCCCTGGTGCCACACTCTAATCCGCTAATTAACTCAAACCACCTGCAAAAGCCTTTAAATGGTCTTTCAGTCTAGTTCTATAGGCTACACAATCATGGGGAAGACTGCTGACTTGACAGTTGTCCAAAAGACGACCATCGACACCTTGCACAAGGAGGGCAAGACACAAAAGGTCATCGCTAAAGAGGCTGGCTGTTCACAGAGCTCAGTGTCCAAGCACATTAATAGAGAGGCGAAGGGAAGGAAAAGATATGGTCGAAAAAAGTGTACAAGCAAGAGAGATAACCGCACCCTGGAGAGGATTGTGAAACAAAACCCATTCAAAAATGTGGGGGAGATTCACAAAGAGTGGACTGCAGCTGGAGTGAGTGCTTCAAGAACCACCACACACAGACGTATGAAAGACATTGGTTTCTGCTGTCGCATTCCTTGTGTCAAGCCACTCTTGAACCACAGACAGCGTCAGAAGCGTCTTGCCTGGGCTAAAGAGAAACAGGACTGGACTGCTGGTGAGTGGTCCAAAGTCATGTTCTCTGATGAAAGTAAATTTTGCATTTCCTTTGGAAATCAAGGTCCCAGAGTCTGGAGGAAAAGAAGAGAGGCACTTCATCCACGTTGCTTGAAGTCCAGTGTAAAGTTTCCACAGTCAGTGATGGTTTGGGGTGCCATGTCATCTGCTGGTGTTGGTCCATTGTGTTTTCTGAGGTCCAGGGTCAACGCAACCACATACCAGGAAGTTTTAGAGCACTTCATGCTTCCTGCAGCTGACCAACTTTTTGGAGATGCAGATTTCATTTTCCAACAGGACTTGGCACCTGCACACAGTGCCAAAGCTACCAGTACCTGGTTGAAGGACCATGGTATCCCTGTTCTTAATTGGCCAGCAAACTCTCCTGACCTTAACCCCATAGAAAATCTATGGGGTATTGTGAAGAAGAAGATGCAATACACCAGACCCAACAATTCAGAAGAGCTAAAAGCCACTATTAGAGCAACCTGGGCTATCATAACACCTGAGCAGTGCCACAGACTGATCGACTCCATGCCACGCCGCATTGCTGCAGTAATACAGGCCAAAGGAGGCCCAACTAAATACTGAGTGCTGTACATGCTCATACTTTTCATGTTCATACTTTTCAGTTGGCCAACATTTCTATAAATCCTTTGTTTTTATTGGTCTTCAGTAATATTCTAATTTTCTGATATGATGAATTTGAGATTTTCATTTGTTGTCATTTGTAATCATCAAAATTAAACAAAATAAACATCTGAAATATATGAGTTTGTATGTAATGTATGAATATAATATACAAGTTTCACTTTTTAAATGGAATTACTGAAATCAATCTACTTTTTCATGATATTCTAATTTTATGACCAGCACCTGTAATGTTGAAGTTTTTACCCTTTTTAACAAGCCAGTCATTTAGGGAGAGGTTATGTTTCTAGAGAGCCTTGCTCATGGGACAGTAAAACCGAAAGAGTTTTGCATGTGCCTGCAGAAGGCATGGTGTTTGGTCCGCAGAGGAGCAAACCAAGCCCCCTGGCTTGGCGTCTTATAGGTAAAGTGAAAGCAAAACCCTCAGAGGCACCAAGAGCAGCTGCGCCATACACGCCTTGCAGGGAGTCATCTGAGGACAGCCTAGCTGGAGACTTGTAGGTGCAGTGGCTTAAATTTGAAAAGAATAAAAACTAAAGAGGTGCAGAGGACCTGAGCATCGCTCAAAAAAAAACACCCAACAGGTAAATTCTATCCTTCATTACAGGGTGAGGTGGGTGTCTGTGTGCGCTTTGATGGGAGGGAGGGCTAATGGGTTTATTTTTCAGCATTAGTTTTATTTTATTTTATTTAGATTTTTTTTTGACTTATTGTTAATCAAAATAACCAAATGTGTTGAAATAAACATATGCAAGCTGTAAGTTGGATGAACCTTTTCTGTGAAATGCGCATTCTGACCATCAAACCATAGTTTGCTTTGTTCTGCCTGTTTAACCAGAAATCCAAAACAATTCAAAGACGAATGAACTCCATTACGCACGAATCAGCAGCGCAATCTAACCCGAACCTGAATGAAAAAAAGCTTCACAAAAGTTGCTGAAGATCAGTTAGTTACCTTTGTTATTAATTTGTTTCTATCACAGGCGAGTCAGAGTGAAGCTTTGGTGATATAGTAGCAAAAATGCGCACTTGGAGTGGCTGTTTTTGGCGCACAGATGGGACTTTCCCATATTAGGGCGACAGTGGCGTTGGATGTAGGAGTTTGCCCTGTAATCGGAGGGTTGACGGTTCAAGCCCCGACTCCGACTTTCATTGTCGTTGTGTCCTTGGGCAAGACACTTCATTGTCTACTGATGGTGGCGCCAGTGTACGGCAGCCTCGCTTCTGTCAGTGAGCCCCAGGGCAGCTGTGGCTACAATGTAGCTTGCCACCATCAGTGTGTGAGTGTGTGTGTGTGTGAATGGGTGAATGAATGTAGTGTAAAGCGCTTTGGTCAAGTCTCCTAACTTGAATAAGGGCGCTATATAAGTGCATGCCATTTACCATATTAAGCCGTTTTCTTTCTGCAGTATGTATGGTTTGAGGTCATGGTCTTTTTCTGTTGTCAGTGCTGTGCCTTCCTTTTTAACTCTAAAATGCATAAATTAGGATGGCTCTGGCAACAAAGCTGTCATTTATTAGAAGACATTTTGCTCTTTTCCTGTTGAAAATAAATTTCTCTTCTTAACAATCTTTTAATCCAGATTTGTCGCCATTAGTTGTGGATTTTATTTTATTTATTTTTTTCTGTGTAAATTGAATGTGAGTCTCAGTGGAGGGTAAAATTATATTTTGATTATTTAACTGAGACAGTTGCATAGAATAGACGAGAAGAGCTGAAGGTTGTGGGAGTTGTTTAAAAAAGGTATAATAATCATTTTTATTAAAAGCCCTACTCAGCTGGATGGTCAGGTTGAAAAAAACAACTTTTCAGATGCATCTCTATCTTGGTTTGGGAGACTTTGTTGGACAGGGGGAAAAAAAGTGGACCCAAATTGGTTTAGATGAGATGTGATTTGATACGAAAAGGGAAAGCCGGATGTTATTGGTGATGGTGGTCAGAAGGCCTTTTGGCACTTATATATATGGCAGCACCACCTCTGTCAGTCCTCAGGGAAGCTGTGGCTGCAGCGTAGCTTGCCACTAGTGTTGCACCGATGCCATTTTTTTTGGCCCTGATACGATAACCGATACCTGGCTATATAGTATCGGCCGATACTATTCCGATACCATCTGTTTGAAATGTATGTGTGTGTATATATGAAGAACTGGATACTACTTGGATGTAAATAATTGCCATCATGGCTTTGTGGAGCTGTTGCCTACCTTAGTGAAGCAGGAAAAAGACAAATACAAAGTGAATCCAGCCGAACTTTTTATTGCCTACCTGGAATGGGTGACAATAGTTGAACAAACTTCAGACTTTCAAAATGGTATCTGTGCCCTATTTGTTGGTACTCGCTGATATCGATACCATTTTATGTCATAGCTAGGAACTTAAACCATCCGTCCATCCATCTTCTTCCTCTTATCCATCAAGGTCACGCTGGGGTTGGTGTCTATGTCCAGCAGTTTATGGGGATCAGGTGGGGTACACCCTAGACATGGTGACGGTGTATCGGAGGACACAGACATACAACCATACACCCACCCACCCACACCTAAGGGGAGATGCCACTTAACTTAGCAGCAATGTGTTAGGACTTCTGTGGAGAAGCCAGAGAGAACCAATGCATTCAAAAGAAGAACATACAAACTCACTGCAGACAGAAGCTAGGTCAGGAACTGAACCTATGACGTTCTTTCTGCAAAGCAACAGTGCTACAAAATTCGCCACCATGCAACAAATATGTTAAATATTTTTTATTAATTTACATCATGTTTTTTAATAAACTCATGGATAAATTGTGAAATTATTTTCATGTATTCACATTTTTATCTATTCCCATTTCTCCCCTAATTTTGCCCTTCAAACCAAAGCAATTGATGACCTGCAGATATTATATGTTGGTGCATTTGCTTACTTTAATGGATAGAAAAGAGATATTTACTTTAACTAATGTGGTCCCAAAATGAATATGAAACATTACCAATGCCATGCAATAGTTGGTTCAGGGGGGGTCCAAAAATATATTTATAAACACATCATGAAGCGTAGAGAGTTAAGAGTTTAAAAAATAAATCCTAGTCAACACATTTATGTACAGTTTTTTCTAAAGAGTTAGCTGTCATCAACTCAAGATGTACATAAAGACTCTTTTTTCCCCCCTGTCTGTTTACTGTCTGTGCTTTCCACTCCGTCCTTCTTCCTGTTCAACCAGTAATCAATAGACTACTGGCACCTTTACAACGCTTTCCACAAAATATTTAGAAAATGAGGCTTCGTCAAAAGCCATCTAATTCCCAGCATTTCCTTTACGTTTCAATGTTTGGAAAAATGGCTTTCCGTTCCATGCACACTAAAGACCATGGAGGCTGTTGTCCGTGTGGCAAAACTGTAGGAAAAAAAACAAAAAAACTCTGGCAATGTGGAAGGAGAGGGCATGTGCAAAATGTTTAATAGATGCCAGAGATCATACAATCATCTGTTGGTATTTTGGGTTTAGCTGTATTCTGAAATAAATTAGTAACATTTGAATATAAGGCGGGACCTTTTTAAACCATAGTTGTAACTTTATGACTAGAGTCAGTTATATTGGATTGTTGTCTTTATTTTCTGAGCTGCTCTTTCCTATAAAGACTCTCCTCGAATCAGGAAATCAGCCATTAAGTATCATGTTTCACTGTTTTGTCTCATTGTCTTCAACCAAATGTAAATGCATCTCTGGTCAGTTTGAGATTTTTATTTTCTTATCGGTTGTGGAGTTTCTTATCAGTTATGACAGGCGTTTTGTGGCTTACCTTTACTGTTATGTTTTATGGACTTTTATCCAAGTTTTAAAGATCGTTCTGTCCTGTTTGATCTTGATTACACAGAATGAGGGCGTGTTTTGGCTTTGTCTGGGCAGAACCAAAACCTCCAAAGGCAAAGCACAGGGTGAGCCAATGGTAAAAAGGAATTAAATAAACCCTGCTGGTAGGATTTTTTATGCCATAAATATTCACCGGACACGCCTAAGACACATTTGTGACAATTACAAAATTAGATTTCTGTTAATCGGGATAAGTTTGGTAATGTTATGCCCCAGATCCAATGATAGAAAGTAATCAGCTAATGCCTGCTTGGTTTTACATTTTTCCAATAAAATGTTAAATTTGCCTTCCATATATGACCAAACTGGGTGTAGCCTCTTTTCAACTGTCTCGTCCAAAAGGGTTAGTCTGGAAATAAAACTGAAAATATGTAGGTCCTGAACAAAAATGTAGTACAACTTTCAGATTTGCTTTCAGTAAATATGGCTGTGATTTAAAATGGAAATCCCCGTTTCATCTTTTGTGAGTCTCCGATCCTAAGTTGACTTTCAAAATTGCTTTACTTTTGGTGTCCAGTGCTTTTAGTGCTTTCATTTTTGTTGGTCCTTCACTGAACACTCACTACATCATTGTCCAAGGGATTTATATTTAGTGCATTAATTAAGTATTTTCCTTCTGTCAAAAATAACTTTGTGAGGTCTAATGTTTCAGATAATCAATGTATAATCAATAATATAATGTATAATCAATGTATTACCTATTAATGGTACACGCCTGCCTTTATGTAAAACCAGGAAAAAAGAACATGTTTTTCACATGGGGAATGTTGGTTCTAATAGCCTTTTAAAGCCATTAAGGCATAATTTTATTGAAAACCTCTTATATTATAGAATAGAATAGAAAATCCCTTTATTGTCCGACAATGGGGAAATTGTGGTGTTACAGCAACAAAAGATTATAGAAAAAGTGGTCACAGAAATGTGGACCTTAGAAAAGTGTATGAAAATAACAGAGTAGTAAAGAGTTAAAAAAGAAAAAAAAATACAAAAATAAACAAACTAAATACTATTCTTATATATATGAAATTGATGATCTGAAAGATTTCAATGTGACAAGAGGGAAAATACTTTTTCAAACTACTTTATATCTTGATAATTTTGATAACTTATTCAAAATGTTTCAGTTGGGTCAAAGTCATGTCAACCTTGTTCAAAATATTACTGCAACATGTAGATTTATCCATATTGTGGGTATTAAGTGGAGTTAAAACTACTATGGACTATTATGACTCAATATATGACAACATCTATGCATTTGCTCATGTTCAATAGTTGGTTTCCTCCTTTTGTCGCGAAGAGGTGTAGAGTATATTTCTAAATACAGCACAATTTTTGGTTGAATAAATTTCTAAATGAACAGAATGTCAGTGCTCAATAAACAAAACAAGGAACTAGTCTATTGGGTGGTGGCAGTGGGTAGAAATGGTTTCCTGTGGTGTTTTCTTTCAGCTGCAGAAAGTATATTGGTCACAGAACCATCTAAAGCGCAGGGGGGGGGGGGGGGGGGGGAATAAAAGGAATAAATACGTCAGAGAAATAGATCTGACCTCACATTCAGTTAGATACACTGTTTATGCGGCTTTAACAAGGTCTACTTGTTGCAGTTACTTATTAGTTTTCTGTTATTCATTCTTACTGTGTGTGTGTTTTGGTTTTCAGATGCCAAGATGCAGGAATTTGACCAGGACTCCTTGGGCCTGCCTGATATCCTTCCTGGTTTGTATTGCTACATTATATTTAAAAGGTTTTCTAGAGAAGCCCTAATTTCTTCTTCTTCTACAGTCATTTCTTAAAAAGTACTGTAAGATGTAACCTTAATTAACCTAACATATGTGTATTAAAGATGCATTTTTAAAAATCTGTATTATGAGGTTTACTGGCTGGACAGAGTGATTAAAATCTAAACTTTTAAATTATACTTTTATTTGTTGAATAGACTGTACAAGCCTTCCACATAAAACAGGAAACCCATATATCTTCATGTGACAGGGTCACATGAAGGGTCACACAACCAAATTAGGTGGTTGTTTTAACCAAAGGATTGGTTGGACACATAAATACCTACCAGATTGGTCAAATTAAACCAATTCTTAGGTTGTATTGACCAAACTGTTTTTAGAGTGCACTTAATTTTCATCTATTTGTAGGGAAACAAGGATAAGATGAGCTTGTAAAAATTCAAAATTTCATTTAGAAAGACTAGTCGGAAAAGTTGTTACAATTCAAGTCAATGCAATAATACCTCAATTTAACAGTCAGTTTGAAGGACTTACCACGACTTTCATGGCTATGAACACTGAATATCAATATTTTCTCTGTTCTAGATGATCTGTCAAACTTTTTGGACGATGACTACTTAGGTAAGAATCATTTAAGTTTGGTGACTTGCATTCACGATTTTACCCATTTAGAAAATGTGATCAATGTTTAATTATCTATTTGCAGTTACTCACCTGGATCCAGCCATGCTCTTCAGTATGGATCTTGGTGTTGACTGCGTGGATGAAATCATCCTCAACAGTGAGCATTTCTTTTTGTTTTTGTCTTATAAAAAATACAAAAAAAATTGTCTTATTTATTATTTATTTATTAATAAAAGATCAAATGAAAACACACAGTTATAAAGAACTTAGCATGAAGCTGTTGCAGAACTGGAGAGCTCCTTCAGTGACAGACTGCTGCACCCTTATTGCACCAGGGAGCGTTATCATAGATCCTTCCTTCCAGCAGCTGTAAGACTTTATAACCATCACTGCTTCCAGCAACCTCAATAAGTTGTTACTTTCATGCTACATTTCACAAAGTTTCTACCTTAGTCAGTTAAATAACATGCTGCTGTCATTTTGCACATCTCTGATGTTGCTGCTATTTTCAAATATCCATTACTGTAAAAATGTCCATAGCTGTATATTGGTTATATATTTTCCAGTTGCACAGTTTTTATATTGTAACACTTTTCAGTACAGTATGTTATTGTTTATCTTTTAACTATTCATTATTATCACTATCTTCACAATTGTTATACATTTTTCTAAGGTCTATATCTGTGTTTCCATTTTTTCTATAATCTTTTTTTGCTGCTGTAACACCAGAATTTCCCCATTGTGGGACAGGGAAATCTGTTCTATTCTATTTTATTCTATTCTATTAAATTTTACAGTTAGTAGTGATTGCGTTCCATGTACTGAATTAAGCCAGTACTACCATTTGTATTAATTTTCAGGTAAGGCTTTCTTTTACGGTACATCAGTAACCATGTAATAACATGGTAATAACATAACAAATCGCACTATAGTACTTGGTTACAAGAAAAACTATTTGGGTAATTACCCCAAGATTAAAGTATATGATTTTAAAATACTGAACTGCATGTTATTATTACACATGTATGTGACTATGTAACATTATAATTAGCTTTAGGTTACCACATAACATTTTCTATTATTAGCGACCACCTTCAAATATAAAACTGAAATTAAGTTCAGTTAAGAAGATTGGCTTGCCGTCTTCTAGGTTTGGTTTTCTGTTATATACCAAGTAATAACCTGAATTTTAACAGATATCACACTCAGTGTGTGAGTGTGTGCATGAATGGGTGAATGACTGAATGTAGTGTAAAGCGCTTTGGTCAACTCTTGTGACTTGAAAAAAGCGCTATATAAGTACAGGCCATTTACCATCATTTATTACTGTTTGCGAAATGAATATGAATTACCTGGTAATAGCGGTTTGAAGCCTGACTTTATCTTCTCCGCCTAAAATTTGAAGCACAGCACTTAGTAAAATTCTCCATAAAGTTTTTCTTATTACCTTGTAATATAGTGTAACTTGCTATGTTATTACCTTGTTATTACATGGTTAAATGAGGTACTGTAAAATACAGCATTACCAGTTTTCATATATCTATGGACACTGCCATGTGGCCTTTCATCGTACACATAAATTATTTTTGATGGTTTGTTTTTTTTTTAGCATCTTTCACTTACGTTTCTGGCCACAGTTTAACATTCTTTGCCAATTCCTGTTTTGAATCTTCCCATTTCTTTAGAAATGATGCACTTCTTAGCCATGCTCTTAAGATCCCTACTGAAAAAAGCATGAAAAAAACAGTTATTTACTGCCTGCTCTCCGCTTCGCTGCCTTTTACACTTCCTCTTCTGTGCTTTGCAGGTGAGGCGTCTATGGCGATGGAGGCCCCCCCTCTTGCTAACCACAAAGAGCAGGGAAGACAGAGCAAGACAAAAACTAAACCTAAAAGGAAAAGACAGAGAGGTTAATGGAGCTTAAGGTTGTCCTGTGCTGCATGTTTATTAGTAATTGCTCATTCACAAATTTCATTTGTCTCTTCCAGATGTCATGTCTAAACAGTGCAACAGCAACTCCAGAGTGAAAAGGCAAAAAGCAATAGGTGAGAAATTTAGTCTTCCTGTTGTGTTCTGTCTGTCTGGCCGTGTGAAAATATCACTAATAATATGCAGCATGTTTATAAAAAGAGTCTCTTCATGCACATGCTGACACCCAACGTCTGTCATCATGTTTTTGAATTAGTTATCTTTATAGCCTGTAATAACATTCCAAGGTTCAAATTATTATATATCCAAGAATTTGTCACCATTGATAACAAGCTAAATGTCCACCTCAGATCATCAGATGTTCACATTTTTTCATTATCTTTTAACCAGTGTTTGCCTTTTGACTCACCATACCATCATAACTTATTGGACTCTTTTCTAGTCAGTTATTAAGTTTAAAAATCATTAACAATGATCAACAATTATTGTTGAGACTGAATGGTGGCAAACAACAGTGGATTTATCTTTCTATTATCAGCAAATTGTGATTATTTGCTGTTATATTTACAATAACATGATGAATTCACTTTTCTTCCAGTTGACAGTTTCTGGGGCTCTAAATCCTTTTGCAAGAAAATAAACACTTTTAAATGCATCAGAGCTTTTTTCTTATACCATCTTAGGGAGGGGTGGGCAATTCCATTTCTTGAGGGAAGGTATCATGCAACTTTTAGATATGCCTTTGGTTCAAAACACCTAAATCAAGTAATTACATATTTGAGAGGACTCTGGAGGAACTGACTGCATCCTGAGGATGTTACTTAGCCATTTAATTCGGGTGTGTAGGACCAAGGGTGGATGTAAAATTTGCAGGAAATGGAATTGCCCACCGCTGAACTTAGGTGATGCCAGGTTTTCCTAAAGACACTATACAGACCAATATGTTAAATACAAAGTATGACAATACTTGCTTTTTTACTACCTTTGAATGAGCGCATTATTCTTATCTACAGCTTGTTTGTTTGCAGGAATTCACTTTTTTGCACAGGAGTTTACATTTGCCAGTTGTAACCTTTTGACAACAGGTCCAGTAAATTCAAAATATGAAACTCAAAGGTTTTCTTTAAGCTTATAAAGATGCTATAGCTACCCTCTATTTAAACTATTAACACAGACAATAAAACCTCTTTAAATTAGATTTGTCACCTTGATAGTTTATATCTTGCTAATATCAAAAACCCATCCCAGTGGATAGTTTTCTATGTTAAAGCAAAACTGGCCATTTGCTAGTTAGCTGCTTTCAGCTGTTTTGTAAGAAGTCAAACAGGAAAGGTTAACACTTACAGGAGATAACTATAAAAGCAGACAATAGAAACTTTTGCAAGAGACTGTTATAAGTTTTTCTTGATCATAAAAAGTTCATGAAGTTATGTTGATTGGTACCAGCGGTTGCATAAATCAGCCTCATGGCAGACAGGTCAGACTCCACTGGAGGGGGATGGATACATACTGAAAAAAACAAAACAATTTATCTTACCTTTGGCTCCAATAGCACAATCATATTATTCTGTTCTTGAAGACCTTAAGGAGGATTCTTCTTTACATCCTGTGGACATAATTATTTTTCTGCGTAGTGTCCAACCAGCTGGAGTGCCCCACTTTACTTCTTGTTAGAAGTGAAATTCCCTGACTCTAACCACCTTGTACTTGTTCCTGCTTCCATGTCAGAGAAAACAGTATGTGCCCTCCGGTCCATGATTGTGGAGTTTTATATCTTTAAATTGTATGTCAGTGCAACAGTTTTGATGATGGACTGTTTGTGTGCTTTTGGGCTTTGTTGTGGGTTTGAACATTATTGTTTGAGACTTAAGCCGATGAGAGGGACTGATACCGTCACCAATTGAAATGTGTGTACAGTAGAGACACATACTTTGTAGGGTTTAGAAAACCATATAGATATGGTCTATTTCCAGTGGTTGAGTCTGATCAAAATCATAGATCAACATATAATATAGGCTGTGGTACTTTTTCCTGATTTGCTGCTGTCTGCTCCGGTTCAAAGTTGATCTTTTGTTACTATCTCTAATAGATTTTTATTTAAAGTATTTTCTGCTTTAAGCAAAAATCCAACTTCTTTAATAGCAGTAGAGTGCATTTGATGTAAATTACTAACGCACTATTAGTATTACTGCACTATAACTACCAGGTTTTAGGTATCATGACAACTAGAACACGGTTAAACATTAGGGCTGGGTAAAAAAATCGATTCCTTTACATTTTTGCAAAATCAATGTCTAGGGAATGAGATCGATTAGTTTTATAGTGACGTGTGTGACGTTCACATTCAAATGAGCAGGAAAGATGCACTCAAGATGACTTCAAGCCAGACGGCTGCAAATATAGCCAATAGATTGACTGAAGACATTAACAAATGGTGGCTGACCAGCAAACACCCTGTAGTTGTTACAGACAACAATGCAAATATGGTTTGTGCATTGAAGATAAAGCAGTTCATGCATGTCTGCTGTGTCCCCGCTGTGTCACGTCTGTTTGCTCGAGTGAGGCTTCAGTTTTTCACTTTTCAGAAACAAGTTTGCACTTTTGAAACAGTTTTGTTTACATCTCAAGTTTAAACTGTCTGATTTACAAGTTTGCACTTTGTGTTTAATATGACAGGAAAAAATAAGATTCATGAGTATTTTGAAACACACTTTCATTGTTGTATAAACAGACCGAATCGAAATATATCGATTTAGAACTGTATAAATCAAAATCGAATCAATTCAGGGCTTTGGCGAAAATACCCAGCCCTATTAAACATTGCTAATTGAAAGTATATGTAGATTTTGTTTGTGAGTCTCCGCCGACTAAGTTTTGTTGTTGTTGTTTTTTAACAGATTCACCTCAACCCCAAGAGGCAACTGCTGAGCCATCTCTCATTCATGGTGAGGTTCTTGCGTTAGAAATTAATGCAATGTTTAAAGGAACAACACAAATTTACGCTAAACAGAAAACATTTCTAAAACAAGTTTATCAAATATGCATTTAAAGCTATCAGATCTTTAGGTATTTTACATGCATATCGAAAACAATACCATTTTACATAGCAGGTGCATGTTGTTTATCAGATATGAAAGAATAAAAGGGATTGTGGTTGGTCATGTTTGACTTGGTCCTGCTGGCTTAGAAACAGGAAGTGTGATTTTCTTGATGTTAGTTGTGATAAATCAAAAGAAGAACTCTCACCAAGTTTAACTTCCTCTACATTATTTTGGTAGCTGTACTTGTCAGCAACACATGCATTGGTAGTGCAGCTCATCTGCATTTTTTTATTTTTGGGGTTTTTTTTTTTACTTTGTGTAAATATTTCCTTCACTCCAACTTGGATTTTTTTTAAGTAGATCTAACTTGTGGGCAGAAAATAATAAAAATGTTCCCTGCTGTTGCTTTGCAGGTACCGATGCTGAAGCAGTACCAGTTCCAGCAGAGCCTATAGGAGGCCTCTCCACCCCCCAGCCAGGAATCTTCCACGTGTTTCGCCCCCAGTCAGCCAATTCCATCCCATTTCAATTCATCCCATTCCAAGATTCATCTGCTTATAAGGTGGTCCAGCTGTCCTCCTCTCCTCCTCCAATCATTAGACTCCCACTCCCCAATTCAGCTGCTATGCCTACATACATCTTTGGTGAGTAGATTAATTTAATTAAATAAAATTCACTTCAGTTTATTTATATAGTGCCAATTCACAACACATGTCATCTCAAGGCACTTTACAGTTCACCAGATCATACAGAGGTTCTGGGTTCGATTCGCAGCCAAACAGGAACAGATGAGGCAAGGCTATTACAGTATGAGAAAAAGCAGAGAGAGCATAACGTTAGAGATTGAACTAACAGATTCTCCAGAGTGGGAGAATAGAGATAGAATGAATCAGAATAATGAAATGGTGGTCCCTATGTCCTCCAGCAGTCTAAGCCTATAGCAGCATAACTATAGAGATAGCTCAGGACAACCTATGCCACTCTAACTGTAAGCTTTATCAAAAAGGAAAGTTTTAAGCTTAGCTTTAAATGTCGACATGGGTGTCTGCCTCACGGTCCTGTTTTCAGGCATTTGTCGGTTTGTCTGTTTTCAAAATAACTAAATAAATTAGGGACAGAGTTTTCAGCGAAGGTGTGCAATGTGCATTGTGACAAAAAATTACTAAATGTTGGTCATGATCCGGATCAACATTTAGATCCAGGAATTTTTTTAAAGATTCCGAGAAAACTGGTCTTACCTTAAAGGAATAGTACACCCAAAACATGATTAGCCTTCATTTTCTACTCACCCCCATGCTGAACAACACTCTGGAGTACTTTTTTGATATCTCAAATGCATCTGGAGATCTGGGAGGCTTCTTGCTGTCTGCTGACATTCAAATAATGGAGGTCCATGGTGCCCGAGACAGAAAGGTCCATAAAAGTCCACAAAAAACGTGTCAATATTCCTCCATACTGCTCCTCCAATGTATTCCAAGTGTCCTGAGTGGGTAACATCCAGAGTTAACTCGAAACGAAGTCATTTAGAATGTTTTTAGAGCATAAACAGTAGTGTATAGGATTTCCTGAAAGCGCGCACATGCGCGTTCACGACGCTACGGAAGCCGGCACACCAAACCAGATGAAAGTGCGCATTCAGCGTCTGCTCTGCCAATAATGCAAGCGTAGAAGAAGAAATGTGCTGTTTACCTGTGCAAAGAAAGAAACGACGAAAGAAAAATGTCTGAGGACTTCAGTGTTGAGGAAGAGCATGAGTTCTTTGCCGAGCTGAATGCGCTGGTTTGGTCTGCCGGCTTCCGTAGCGTCGTGAACGCGCATGTGCGCGCTTTCAGGAAATCCTATACACTACTGTTTATGCTCTAAAAACATTCTAAATGACTTCGTTTCGAGTAAATTCTGGATGCTACCCACTCAGGACGCTTGGAATACATTGGACGAGCAGTATGGAGGAATATTGACACGTTTTTTGTGGACTTTTATGGACCTTTCTGTCTCGGGCACCATAGACCTCCATTATTTGAATGTCAGCAGACAGCAAGAAGCCTCCCAGATCTCCAGATGCATTTGAGATATCAAAAAAGTACTCCAGAGTGTTGTTCAGCATGGGGGTGAGTAGAAAATGAAGGCTAATCATGTTTTGGGTGTACTATTCCTTCAAGGTGGATATGTTGGAGGAAATCAGCTACTTGGCAGAGGTCTGCGTTCTGTCAATGCTTTCTCGTTTTTATAAGTGATCTGTAGATATGATATGATGCTGTTTATCTGTCCTGTGTATTTGCCTTTTATTTTGTTTTCATTGTAAGCAAGGACTATATTACTGAGGTGGTCAATCAAAAGAGCAGAAGCCTGGATTATTTCCCATTTTGGAATTTATGCTTGTAAAAATGTATCTAACCCCATTTTGATTAGGTGGCAGATTTTCTCAACTTGTCACAAATAGAGCGATATTATTAAGCCTACCGGCCAAATGCAGTACAGCACATTCTCAAATTATTCATAGCATTCAAAAATTTTCTCACACAACGGAAACCACAGTTATCAGAAGTTACCTGTTTAGCAGGAAATATAGCTCAACCTAGATTTAGCTAGATTTCCTGTCTGTAAGGCATCAGAGTTAATTAGAGAATATTAAACAGTAAAAAGCGTCATGGAGACAATGGAATAAAGCTTACTGGTTAGGGATCCTCTTTATGAAGATGTTTAAAGATACTAAATCATACTGAATACACCACAGTCCATCATCCCAAAAGCACAACTTACCAAGACGTGCTCTAATATGTCTTTATAGGCAGTATTGTGTTGATCAGAGAAGCAGCTAATTGGCCGCACGGTAACTCTGGAGAAGCTGTGAAGATCCACAGCTGAGGTGGAACCTACTGTAGATTCGTGGTGCATTCAGAAAACAGGATGCAAATTGTCAAAGGTTGAACTTTGCTAGTTTCATACAACATACTAAGTGTGGTGAAAAACTGGCAATGCAAGTCTACCTAAAATCACCATTCACATTGTTAAACATGGTGATGGCAGCATCATGCTGTGGGAGTGCTTCTAAACATAATGTATGAGATAGAGGTAGATATGACTGGTCGATCTAAATACAGAGCAGTCCTGGAAGAAATTCAACAGGCTTGCCAACTACCCTAAATACACAGCTATATTTCCGTGGGATAACTTTAAATCTGATGTTTTAACACTGAAGGATAGAATACAACAGACGAGTTACAGCAAGAAAAATAGGCACAAATAAAAATAAATGCATGGCACACTTTTCAGATTTTAAATTAGACGAAATCCAAAATTAATCAATGCTTTTTTTCCCCATGTGGTACACAGTCATGTAATAGTTTGGGTTGAGCTACAAAATCAAAGCCCAGTTACTAGATAGGAGTTTGTGGATGTAATTTAACAAAATGTTTGGCCTTGGTCAAACTGTGACTGATTGGTATGTCTTTTTAAGTGTCGTTTTGGGATCAATAACGTAGCTTTGAAATGAATTGAATATCTACCTAACTTAAATGCTTGAAATTCCATTAATATTTTACTAGCTATGTTAACTTCACATCTCGAAATGTTTACATTACACTAAACAGTTACAGCTGGGTGGAAGTTTGAAGTAAAGATGCCAAATTGTTCCGGTTATGTTAAAAAAAATAAATTCCCTAATGCTTTGTGCAAAAAAATACTACAAAAGCATTGCTGTTTGATATTAGCCACAGCTTAACATTTTTGTTTACATTATAGTTTTACTTCAATAAAAAATAGGCGGCGCAATAAACTTCTTTTACTGCATCTTTAGATTACAGATACTTGAACAGATGTAAGGAAAATATATCAAATACATTTCCACTGAAAAGCTGTAATGAAGGTATCGTAAAACAAGTCTTATTAGCTGGAAATTGTTGGAGGAATATCAACTTCCTTCTGTTAAAGCCTCTCTATTGAAATATTAATAATCCTGACTTTATAGTTTGCTCATTGTATAATATTGTATCAGAGATCACATTCTAATTTGTTATTCTAGAAGTCTTTGAAATAATGTATAGTATTGCTGTTTGCGCTTTATCTTGTAATCTTTATTCTCACTTGTGTTTACATCTCTTGATGTGAAAAAATGTTGTTGGGTAACTTTTTATTTAACTCAGCACTGTTTTCTCTAATCTTATTTATTACTCAGTTCCAGCACCTTCTCCTCCCTGCAAACGCCAACTTCCACCCCTCTCCCCAGGTAAGCAGTTCCATATTCGATCTAGAGGAGCTAAAACCTTAACGTGCACATGTCCAGATCTTCATCTGTCTGTTGGCTATCTTAGTTTAAGTGTTCTTTCTCTTGTGTTTTTTTAGTTGATGGAACAGTGGCACCTGTTCTGGTGAGTTCATTTCAGCCAGGATCCAAGTCAGATAAGGCATGCAAAGCCATGTCCCCCACTACTGCACCATCTCCATCACCCACGAACGGTAAGCTTCAGTGTCTTTCTCGCTTCCTAGTCTATGCAGGTACCTACTATCATGTAAATAACATAACTTCTTGCATTTCAGATTTGTCCCCTTGTAAGGAGCCACCTAAGTCTCCCACAGTTGTTGAAATCCCCCGTAAGTCTTTTCCCACTTCTGCATCTTCCCCTTTTTGTTTCGCACAAGGTCATATGGCTCAAGGAATAAATCAGCATTTACCTAAACTCATTTTTGTTCTATAGAGACTGTGAAAGACTATATCCAGCAATCTAAAACACACATGAGTCAAAAATGCCTGAATATGGAGGCAGGCCTACAGCTGACAACCCATTATGTGGATGTGAGTGTGAGCCAGAGAGAGATTGTTCGTGGTGGGAAAAACACAAACAGGTGTCTGGATAAGGAGCTCATCATCACTGGAGATATAGATCGTCAAAAAAGCTCAGTGGGGCAAAGTCAGGTAAGAGTGTTTCTTTAGTAGACCAGCTCACAGGTAAAATGGTAAAATACCAGCGTAGTAAAAAATGCATTCAGCTGTTTAATCTGAAAAAAAAAAATAAGATTAAATCCCAATTATTGGAAAATAACTTAATTTAAGAGAAATGAAGTTATTGGCTTTTTTTCTCATTAAAGGGATATTGTGTAAGAATTACTGCCATCTAGAGGTGAAATTAGGGTATTTCATGCAAACGAACATTAAAATCTGGAGTGTAAATGCCTGAAACACGTATTGCGACAATGGTAGCTGCAGTGTGTCAAAAAGCCTCGACAACACATGGTGTCCAAAGTGAAGTGGTGTCTGTAAGCTGACATTTACAGTGACAATAAGCCAGCGTTTACCACGACTTTGAGCTCCTAAAGCTACTAAACCCACATAAACCTTCAGTTCTGTACCAACAAGGTTGGTATATGTTTGTGGAATCTATTGTTATGAAATGTAGTTAAACTGAACGGAAAAAGTTAGCTTTACACTAATTTAGGCCGTACAATTCACTTACTCCCTAAGGAGAAACATGGGAACTTCAGCATCCCTTTTGTTGCATAGGCAGCTGCCAGATATCTTTTCTCAGTACTTACCCTTTGAGGTAACTCCCCATACAGAAAGCCATATAGCAAGGTTAATCAAGAAAAAACAGCTTCAGCTTAATATTCTGGCTTATTCCTGCTGTTGAGTCAATGTGTTTTTCTTTCTTTTCCAGATTTTTGACAGCCTAAACGGTAAACGTTACAATTTGCTATTCGGCAATGCTGGCATGGGGAAAACAACTCTGATTAAGAAGCTGTGTTTGGACTGGTCCCAAGACTTGATCCCTCAGTTCGACTTTGTCTTTTTACTAGACGGCAAACAGCTGAATTTAACAGAGCCTGTCCACAGTCTCCAAACGCTGCTGCTTAACCAGTCCTCCTTCGCTCCCCCCTGCACTGACCCCGAAGGAGTGTACGCTCAGATCCTCTCAGCTCCTAAACGGGTTCTTGTTGTTTTTGATGGGTTTGATGAGCTGCGGGACTATGAAATGCTGCTGCAGACGCAAGAGAAGGAATTGGTAGCTGCGCTGCAAAAAGACAGTAAGGCTCAGGCCTTTACGGTGAAGCAGCTGTTCTCAGGAATCCTTCAGAGGGTCCTGCTCCCGGGATGCACGCTCCTCCTCGCCACCCGCCCAAGAGGCACAGCCAACCAGCTGCTACGGCGCGCAGACAGCTTTCTGGAAGTCTGTGGGTTCACTCCAGAAAATGTGGAGACGTACGTGTCTCAGTACTTCTCTGATACTGAACTTCGAGCGTCTGCTTTGGACCTCTTAAAAAGCTGCAGCTACCTGAAGCTCCTCTGCTGGAACCCTGCACTCTGCCATTTAGTGTGCACTGTTTTAGAGCATGGCAAAGGTTCAGAGGCCTTACCGAGAACTTTAACTGCACTCTGTCATGAGGTGCTCAGTTTGAAATTGGAAAAAGTCAGAGGAAGCACAGAGTCGCCTGCTGAGCCAGAGAAACAAAATAATGCTGCACATGTAGAGGAACCTCTGAGTGAAATCTCAAACAGTTCTCAGGGAAGGAGGGGGGAGAGGAAAAAACACACTAGAACCCGAGGTGTAACGCACAATGCTTCACGGAGTCAAAGAGCAAGGAGGAGGAAAGGACAGGAGAAAAATGATGAGGAGAACGTTTGCAAGGACACTAACAGCTCACAGGGAGGAGAATTGTTGTCTCAGCTAAGCTCTCTAGCTTGGGAGGGGATCAAATCGAACTCGACCACAGTTCCAAGGGGACGGGGTGTTTCCCACAAAGTCAGAGAGTTTGGCTTGAGGACTGGTCTGCTGCTTTCTCAGTCCCTAACGACAAGGACAACTTTCCAAACAGAGAGCGTCGGGGGAGGTGGGGGAGGAGATAACAGTGGGATGGAAAAAGTACAGGATGAAGAGAGCAAAAGCAAAGAAGGAAAGACCTTTGATGTGGATGAAGACAGCCTCCTGTTGTGGGCCAATCCCTTTCTTCAGAGTTACATGGCTGCTGTCCATCTGTCTTTGTCAAGGTAACTAAAACTTGATATTCGAAAAAACAGGCATCTCCGCGTAGAGCAAATAATCCGTCTTTTCACCTTAGATAATATGAGATCTGTCACATGCACTTTACGTACAGTTTTCTTTTCCCTCACCTACTCCGATGCTTTTCTCTCACCAGGACTGTAACAGACCGCTCCTTTGTCCAGACCCTGCCTTTCCATACAGGGGGAAAAGGCAGACGGAAACCTCAGAGGGAGGAGCTAGAGCTCACCCAGCGCTTCGCAGTGGGCCTCCTTTTCCACAACAGGACAGAGCTCAAGAGGCTTCATTCATGCTCTGACATTATATTCAGGGCCATGGTTCCCAGCAAACAGGCTTTGGTGATGAAACACCTAGAAGGTCTGTCCTTCGGGGACCTGAGTTCAGCTCAGATTCTGGAGGTTTGCAACTATGTCTATGAAGCAAGCTTCACGCACAAGGACAGTGGCACGGACGCTGGTGGGAAAGTCCTGGATCATCTAGCTGCACATCTTCCTGAATTTGTTACATTTCAGGGTGTTCCCCTGAATCCGCCCGATGTGTTTACAGTACAGAGCATCCTCAGCAAGGCCGGAGCTGAGGGCAGGGGTTTTCGTTTGGATCTGGAGGACTCTGGGATAAAGATCTGTGGACTTAAATCTTTGGTGGGTCTCAGCAACATCAATACATACAGGTAAAAATGAAAATTTTATTGTCTTTATTACCATGGTTTTGAATCTGCAATATGTTTTTAAACTTTGTGTCACGGAGAGGATTTGGTATCAGTTAGCTGAGTAAAAAAAATATTATCTAGTGAGGAATGCCTAATGAGAACAAACAGATTTAAGGTTTAGCTGTTCATGCATGTGTTTGTCTTTTTTCTTGTTTTATTTTTTTGTTTGTTCTTTGTTTATTTTCAGAAATTGATCTTTAAAGGGTGTGCTTCTAATGTGTACTAACAAAATCTGATTTAAAGTGATGTAACATCTACAACCTGCCAGTAGGTGGCAATAATGTTAACACTTTTAGATTCTAATTTAAAAAGGAAAACGACAACAGGAGAGGGAGGGTAGAGATTCTCTCAAAACAGTTAAAGCTCCTATTTTTTTTAAAGATTTTTAACACCTCCTCTTATTCATCATCTTCTTTGACTTAGGTTTTGTAAGTTTATAAGAAGAGAGAAAATAAAAGGATGAAATAATTTTGGAAATAGTTATATTATAATCATAAGTCATTATCACAGCTATCAGATTATCACAAAATGGTATTTTTATCTATTATAATGTGTTTCTAATAATAATTTTTAATTTCATCACAAAAAATGTGTGTTGTAGCTTTATATGGAGTTTAATTCTCAAAGATTGTTCAAAGTTACACAAGTTATGTTTGAGTGTAATACTTCAGAATTGCATGAAATCCGACGTACCCATATTCCATGTTTAATTCTAAAGAATATTTGGAATTTGCTCATTAAAATGTTAAGTGACTGAGCTCTCTAACTTCTACTAATAAGCTAATAATCTTATGTAGCAGCATGTTCATTAAAGGGTCTTCTAAAATTATGTTAAAAGTTTAATTGGTACTAACTGCTGCTGCTACATTATCACTACCACAGCGTTTTACATACAAGATATTTGATTATAAGGTCCGAATTAGGGAAAAGTCTCTTTATGTTAATTAGTAAAACATTTGACTCCCTTTAGGAATTTAGGCTACATCAGACTTACTGTTAATCCTTTGTTAACTTTCGTATTCGTTAAACCACCTTTGGAAAAAAAAGCTCTCTGTGTCTGATCTAACAGGACCATTTTCACTAATATGAGTTAAATGAGTTACATTGTTGTACATCTTCACTGAGTTTTTCTTGTTTTGTAGAGATATAGTAGTAAGATGTGTGTTGTAGCTGGTGCGAAATGCTGAATAGGTTAATAATGTTTTAAAAAAGATGTCAGGAAAACATAAGTTAGAAAGAAGAGGGTTATTCCAGTCTGGCAGATGTTGCCAAAAGCCACCTGTCACCTAAAATTCTGTGTCTTGTTGGAGGAATCGAGGTCTGTTTTATGAATGGAGTCCTGAATATACAGATCATCTCTAAGCCTTGAGGTGAATGTTTAGATTGGAGTCCAGGGGTTTGAAGTCAGAGCTACTGCTGTCAAATATGGATGTTTACTGTCTTTAACAACATGGTTTTCAAGTTTCAAGGTTTACTGTATGCAGGGGGGCTGCCAGGAATTTGGGGCCCCATGAAAGACATTGATATTGGGCCCTCAGCTGAAGGACCAAAAATGTATATATTTTTGTATTCATGCAGTGTTTCACTTTTTACTGCTAAAAAATTAAGGAGGACATGAAGATTTTTTTTATTTTGCTGCTAGATTTTCTTGTTATATTTGAAAAATATAAGGGTCAGTCAGGGGCCCTTCGAATCGTCCTAACTTTACTCCCCATATGGGGCCCCTAACTGTATGATCACTGCAGCTTTGGGAAATGTTGCCTAAACAGAAATTTTCAACTTTGACCATGAGGTGCATGACTGAGAATCTTTACAGATATGAAATGTTGAATTATTTTGTGTTGGATCAAGTTAAAGTTGCACTCTTATACTGTTAGACAGCTGTATCTTGTCCATGTTGAGTTTGTAAGCTACTTCTTACTTGGTCTGGTGCATCTTGTTTGAGTCCCTAAAATTGTTGAATAGAAACTTAAGGTGAACAAACCCTCAGCTTGGTTGATTTTAAGGAATAAACATAAAAAAAATTATCGATGGATAGATTATGTCAGATTAAAATCCTATTTCATCTTTTACAGTTTACTCTTCACTTTTTTATAGATTAAATCATTATCTTGCAGATTTGTAATGTAGGTTTAAACTTTAACGATAGCTCTTTCTCTTTTGATTTGGATTATAATTTACAGTAAATATGTTTTTACTGTGCTGTCAAAGAAAAACAAACTTATTCAAATGGATAACAGAGCATGTGTCCGTGTTGTGTTCCCTATAGGGCCTGCATAGCAGACGTCATCACCCTCTGGGAGGAGCTAGAGACGGATGCTGAGGAAGCTCTCCTGCAAGGAGCTGTGTCCAAATTTAAGATCCATCCACTGAAAGCCACACAAGTCTGCCATATAGAGCATCTAGAGAAGCTTGTCAGCATCCATACCCGCAGGAGGCTCTCAGACAGGTGGGTTTTAAAACGTGCTCATTGAGGTCGATGCACTATTTAAATATTCAATGTTTGCTGAATTATAATGTTTCATACATACCTACAGCTCCAACCAGTCAGTTTCCGTCCTGGCAGAGGGGGTACCAGCTGTTAAAGAGCTATACAAGCTTGAATTTGAGTGAGTAGCTTATTAAATTAATACTAAAACATAAGCAGATTTGATTTCCATTGATGATGATAACATTTACTCTCCTTAAAGGCTTGGCCCAGAAAATGGACCCTTAGCTCTTCCTAAGCTGTGGGACCTTCTTCCTGGTCTGCATAACCTTCAGCACTTGGAGTAAGTATCTCTGTATTTAAATATGTCTCCTAATATTAAAATCTGTTCTTATGATCTCTTTTTGAAACATCCAACAGTTTGGAAAACAGTAAGATTGGAGACAAAGGAGCAGAGAAACTGGCAAATGCATTAGTCTCGCTTCACTCTCTGGAGATACTAAAGTGAGTCCATGTTTGTCCCTTTCTTCTTTTTTACTCCCCTATTTCCTTTTAAATGTTTTTAACTAAACAAGCTGTTTGGTTTCAGTTTGTCCGAGAACTGCATCGGAGACCAAGGATTGAAGAAACTAGCCGTCGTTTTGAAGGACCTGCCCAAACTGCACTGTTTAAGGTCTGTACTGTGCATCATGGAAAAACATACCCAAACATCTATAAATGCTGTCTTGTTTAAGTACCACAGAATCTCACTTCCATCTTTGTGGTCTGCAGTCTCTACAGTAATGTGATTTCTGATGAAGGGGCAGAGAGTTTAGCAGCTGTCCTCCCACACATGGCTTCTCTCACAGACCTTGAGTAAGTCTGCTCATCTCATGACATTGTTCGTTTGCACTGCCAACAGTTAGTATAAAAAAAAAACACAAAAAGCTATCAATGTGAATCATACTTTAGATAAAAAATTAAATATTAATGATAATTATAGCAGTTTTCACAAGCATGACCAACACATTGAGCTACTTCAATGCGCTACTTGAGCTAGTCAAAATGTCAAACAAAAACACATTTTAATGTCTTCAATTTTATCATTGTGTGTCGTAGACAATTACAAAATGTCTGTGAAGTAGAAAAAAAAGATGCAAGTAAAATGAAAGTAATTTGTTTTATTTTCCTATTACTACCCATTGATAACTTGGGTGCAGTCAGCTGCATTAAGAAGTCCCCAGAGTGCTAAAGAGAGCCGTTTTATGCATTATCAAAGCTCCATAAAAACACAGCTGTTGGGTGCAGTATGACAAATCTGCCGGTAGCCTCACAAAAACAGAGGAATAAATCAGACAGCTGGTAATGCTGTGGGAAAACTTGGAGGGGTCATAGAATGCAAAACCGAGTTTCCATTGTCATAGATGAATAACGATAGTTCAGTGGGTGAAATGTACGTAGAGAGAAGTTCAAACCCCATCGACACCTCCTTTCTCTGCAAATCTCACAATTCTAAACTTCCACCATAAGACGGGCGAATACAAACAAAGCCCCGAATTGACGTAAACTCTGGGATGTTGCCTTACTTGGTTCTGGCCTGTATTTCTGTCACACCCCGGGGGGGTGGGGGTGGGGTTGGGGGGGGGGGGGGGGGGGTATGAAGTGTTGACTGCTGGGCTGCAGACTGGACCGGACCTCAGCAGAGAGCCATGAGCCGCTCGTCCTCAGGCGGGCGGTGGGTATGCTGGGTGCTGCTAACACAGGCGCGGAGAAGCACGGGGTCGGGTTCGGTCGCTCTGTCCCCTGCTGGCTCCCTGCCCCCGAGTTCCCGGACCAGCCCTGGAGCTCACGGCTCGGTCCCGCTGCACTGTTGTCGACCAAAATCTTGGACGATTTTGAAATTCCCCTAAGACATTTTTTTTGGTATGAAAAGTAGGACATGTCCGGGTTAAAACAGGACCTCTGGTCACCATACCATATCAACAATTTGATGTTTCAATGATTGAGTGCTTGTTGCTATAATGCGTCTTTGCTCAGCAGCTTTGCTCGTTGTACACCAACCAATCAGTGCGCAGCTCATCTAGATATTCATGAGCATACCATGAAAGGAAGAAACCTGTTTTTTCATTCTAGGGCTTTTAACCAGGCTTGCATTAGGGCTCATAGAACAGCAAATATGCCATTTTCAGCCCAACCAATGTTACACCCTATTCAGAGACCTTAAGGACAACCACCAAATACCCTATATAATCATTCTATCACCCCTTTAAAGGAAATGCCTGCGGTCCCTGCACCATCTTTATTATTAGTCCAGCTGTTAGGTAGAGACAGCCTATGACAACAACGGGCCACTGTGACAGCAAATCCCATAATGCTTTGCAAAGAGAGCTCTTCGCGCAAAGCATTCCAGAATATATCTGCCTCTTCTGAGACCTTTCTTTTCTTCTCATACACTTTTTCTCTTACAAACCTTTGCCTTTTTCCAAAAACCTCGGTTAGAAAGGTGAGCTTCAATAACTGTCTGAAACCATAGCTCACCACAGATATACGCCTGAAAGTGTGCATGTGCAGAAAAAGATAGTTAACGGGACAAGCACATAGGATAGACTTACATACACATATAAGGAGAATGATCGACAATTACAGTAGGAAGACCAATTATTTAAATGATCCACCCAGAAATAAAAGATAGTCCTCCATACCTTTAATACACACATTGTGACTCTGGAGGAGCTGCAGATCTGCAATTGTGCCTCCATGATAGAGTGGGAAAAATTGAAGACTAGTTTGAATTGTACACAAATAATTTAAGGGACATAACAAACACTTAGAAGAAGGAGGCTCTGGTCAAATGAGAAAAGAAAATGAATTTTTTTAGCTTACATGCTGTACGGCAACAGATAGTGTTCTATTGGTGACCTTCATGTGTCTAAGCCTTATAAAACGTTCCTCCCTGGGTGGATGGTACCAAATACCAAACCCAGCTGCAAACCACTGGAGAATGTTCTATAGGTTCATGTTCCACAATATACCTATAATTAAATAAAACTAGATAGAATAGCGCAAATAATTCCCTATATCCTTGCAGAAAGAGATCAAATATCTTCCATTAAATTTGCTGGTTTAGCTTTTTTGCGCATAAGGAAATAAATGTAATTCAGATTTAGATCTGCAGAGCTCAAAATGGCAAATTCATTTTATACAAGATGTTTTATTCTTTTTCTGCCTCAAAAGTAATCTCTACTTTGTGTTTGTTTATCCTATAAAATTTCAATAACATGAAATAAGATATATACCCGCTTAAAAGTATGTCCATAAGTAAAAATTTCCATATTGATGAATTCCCTTTGTAATTCCCCGTTTGTCTTCATTTGACAGCGTGAAATATAACAAGATGACAGATGTTGGAGCACAAAGCTTGGGAGCCAGTTTGAAAAACTGTGAAAAAGTTAAAACTTTAAGGTGAGTCATATTATGGAAAAAAAAAAAAAAAAACACAAGTCATTTTTTCAGATATGTTTTCATTTCATGTTCTTAACTTGGTTTGTCTGATCTTATCCCAGGATGTGGAACCAGTGCATTCCATATGGAGTTTTTGAGAGACTTCAGCAGCAGGACAGCCGCATCCTCTGGCACTAAGCTTAATCCTAAAAACAGATCTGCCTTACACTGAACTCAAACATCTTATGTATACATATGAACACTAACATTTAAGTGTTCTAAAGCATGTAAAACATTACACAAACAGAAAAACTAGCATATGAACATTTGCACTACAATGATCAGCTGCTGATTTACTCACCAGGTAAAGATTCTGTCTTTAAAGGGATCACATGAACACACCCACATCACTCAGGCTCACTCGTGTGGTATGCTTCAAACAATATTTGAACAAAACTTTGCACAACTTTATAATCTCTGTATAGAAAGCTAATTTTTATCCTTTTTGATATTTTTTAGGGACATTTTCTTTTGTGTTTGTCTTTGAGGGGGTGCAAACTAAACATTTCCTGGCTACTTTTATAAACACAAGTTGTTTAGTGGTGTTGTCACATGTTTATTTTTTCATGTCCCTTTCTGAATGCATGGGTTTATTTAAAACCCCAAACTTTCGCTTCTCCTTTGGGCATGTTTCTGTTCTCTATTTTTGCACAGACTGACCTTTCAGACTACAGCACTGTTCATGGCTCTCTAAATGTGTTATGGAAGCACAGTATCTACAGCATTAACATTTGTACTATGTTTGGATGAAATGTTACAAAAGGGAGGCTGAATCATGTTGATGGTGCCAATGGCCTCTCATGGAATGAAATTCCAAGTAAAGGACAGATTTAATAAATGAATTCAAAACTCCTAGAAGTGCTGGTATTTTTTAATACAGATAAACCCTTTATTTTTTTTATTTCTCTAGATTAAACTATTCATACTTATTCATACAAACTATTTAAAGATACATAAATTGTAAAAGCTTGTAAAACCTTCAGTTTCCCTCTATTTGAACTGGTAGGTGAACTGTTGCTCTCTACTGCCGCCTTGTGGTTAATATTTGACATATCCCCAAATAGAGAACCTCATTGAGTCATTGAGGGCTTTAAGAGAAGCCCTTAAACTTTACTTTATACCATTTTGAATAATTAAATATAGTGCATAGGTGTTAAAATTCTGTGGATGAACAACAGGTGTGCTGGAAGATTCCAGCTCCAGGAGACCCACGGCGCACTCTGCTGGAGGAAGGTGGTAAAGCTCCAGATCCCAACAGTAACTCCAGTCTAAGAGAAAATAACAAAGAGCAGAAGAGGATCCTCGGCGCCCTCTGGTGGGCAAGCCTGAGGATCCCAACACGTTAGATGTTTATTATTTATGTGGATTAGAGAAAAAATACAAAGTAAGATTATATCTGTTTAAAAATTTAATACAGTTTATTTAAATAGTGCCAATTCACAACACATCATCTCAAGGCACTCTACAGAGTCAGTTCAATAAGATCGAACAGACAGACTGGTCAAGTCATTCACTCCTACAGAATGAGCATCTAGCTATAATAGACAGTTAGTCATTGTGTTGTTGACTCTACAGCAATCCCTCACACCAGGCATACTATACCAAATGTATTTATAAAGCACTTTAATTACCCAAAAGAACCAACATGCTATATGCAACAAAAGCATAAGATAAAACTGATCAGTCATAAAACATTAGATAAAGTGGTATGTAAAAGTAGTAATGAAATGATAATTAAAAAAAAACAGTAAAACAAAGAAAACATTCTCAGACTGTGTAAAAAACCAAAGAAAAGAAATGGGTATTGAGAGGAATTTAAAATCCGAAAGTGAAGAAGCCTATCTAATGGCTAAGGCAAGGTCATTCCACTGCTTTGCAGCTGCGCTAGAAAAAGCATGGTCTCTTCTGACCTTGGGTTTTGTCTTTGGCACCCTCTGTAACAACTGGTCAGCTGTTCTAAGGACACGAGAGGGAGTGTTGGGGTGTAGCATCATGGACAGGTAGGGCAGGGCAAGACCATTAAAAGCTTTTTAATCAAATAAAAGGATTTTAAAATCAATCCTAAAAATGTACTTGCAGGCAATGTAAAGAGGTTAAAAAGGGGGCCACTCTTGGCGGCTCAAGCATATATGGAGCAACAGTAGGCAGAGAGCAACAAGCGAGATGTAGCTGTTATGAAGAGAAAAGGCAGAGAGAACACAAAGATGAAGCAAACAAATAACGCAAATTTAGAAATAGTAGAATGTAACATTTACAATAGTGAGGAAAAGGGGTATTTATGTCCTCCAGCAGCCTAAGACTATAGCAGCATAACTACAAGTATAGCAGAGTGAATTGAGCAAGTCTAAGTATATGCCTTATCAAAAATAAAAGTGCTAAACCTCGTCCTAAGTAGACAGGGTGCCTGCCTGACTAAAACTGGAGGTTGGTTTCACAGGAGAGCCCAAAAACTAATAAGTCTAATTTCAGAAATGTCAGGAACCACCAGCAGGGATGGAGAGCTAAGTGTTCTGCTATTAGCATATGGAATAATTTTGATACTGAGACTGCTGCCCCTGCGACCTGGTCGAGGATGAAGCATAACACAAATACCGGTACATCTCTGATGTATGATTGAACTTATCTGTTAAGGGCTTTATATGTTATAAAGTTTGAATTTTAATTTGGATTTAACAGGAAACAAGGGAAGCTGAAGTACGAGGACTAGATTTTCAGCCTTACTCATGGGCGGAATATGTTTATTATTTGGGCCGGGTCAATTACTGCAAAAAAGATTATAGTATAAAGTGTCCTAATAATCCTATATAATTATATAATATGATATATCCTAATAATGAGTTGAATTTATTCCTTAGATTTATTTTGATAATTATTCTTTAAAAGTGTCTTATATATTTACTATAAAGAGTTCATTTAATTATCAAACCATATCTGCATAAAGGAATCAATAAACTATTGGAAAAGCAAATATTCTTAAGGTAAACCATATCGCATAATCAGAAAATGAAACCTATAATCTAATCTTTTGAAAACTAAAATGTTTTTTAAACTCCAGATTAAATGTAATAACAAAAGAATTGACTAAGACAACATTTAGTCATTTTGTATACACAGAGTGTATAAAAATTTAATTTTCCTTTTGAACAGCTCTCATGACATTTCCATTTTGTTGAAGTGATGCAGTGATCAAATGTAAACATTGTGGGAGAAAAACATGGTGCAAAAAACCGTATTGATATGATCAGTTTGATGCAGAATCTGTGAGCTGATTTGGAGTTTTTTCAACATTCAGCTGTCTGATGGCGGTGGGGAAGAAGCTGTTTCGGACCTGCACTGAATGCTAGGAAGCCTTTTCCCAGAGGGCAACAGGGAGAACAGTCCATGGTGGGGGTGTGAGGGGTCATTGATAATGTTAGCGGCTCGGGAGGAGCAGTACTGAGATGAAATGTCTTTTATGTAGGGAAAAGGAGCCCCAATGATCTTCTCTGCTGTTCTCACCACTCTTATCACATTCTTCCATTCTGAGGAGCTGCAGCCTCCACATCACACAGTGAGACAGCTGGTCAGAATGCTCTCTATGATGCTTCTTTGGATGGTTGTGAGGATGGGTGGGGGCAGGTGATCTTTATTCTCTGCAGGATGTTCATGCGCTTTTGTGCCCTTTTGACCAGTGGGGTGGTGTTTACAGTCCAAGTCATGTTTTCTGTATGTGCATCCCCAGGAATTCAGTGATGCTGATCACCTCTACAGCAGAGCTGTTGATGAGCAGTGAAGCCTGGTAAGGCCAGTTCTTCCTGAAGTCAACGATGATCTCCTTCATTTTCTCCACATTCAGGATCAGGTTTTTGGCTCTGCATGGTTGTGTCTACTGTTCTAACATGAATAAATACAAAATCCAATTATTTGAAAACTTTCTTTATTTCTAATTGAAACATAGGTGAATTAAACAACATAGCAAAAGTGTATATTTGGGATATTAGGTCAAAAATATGATTTTATGATTTCTGACAAGGGATTTCAGTTCTATAATTACATGTTGGGTCTCAGTAAACAAAATAATGAGACACTTTCTTACCAAAGTTTATTAATATGGCTCAGATGTTAGATCTCAGATACAATTAATAGTGATGCTGCATGTAGGTCCAGTTGGATCATACAACAGAAATTAAAAAGGTGCATCTCTTTTAAGTAAAATTAGAGTTAATTAAAATTGCTTATGTGGGCAAATCAAAATTTCTTGTAACTGCTATTTGTAATTGTAATTTCCATTAACTTATTTTAATTTGGTACTAAAAAAATACTCATGGGTACATGGATTTATGCACACAGAACCTGATTTGAATAAATATAGCACTGATTTTAATCTAACAAAGTTTATGAAAAAAAAAACAGTCTACATCGTGGTGTTAATACTTACATTTACTGTTTAATTCAAGATTGGTCGGGCTATCCAAATAGCCATGTTAGCACACCAGGCAGTGTTATTCAAATGAAAAATAGGGCAGTCTGAAGAGGGGGCAGGAAGACAGACTGAAGATCAGCCATCAAAAAAAAAAAAAAAAATACATTAAAGTTTAAAAGCTGCATCATTTTGTCTCCATACAGCAGCTGACTAGTTCAATGCAGCATAGAAATTCATTTTATTGTGGTAAATAAATATTATGGAGTGAAAAATACTAGTTTCTGTTGTCCTTGTCTAATCTGCACTACATGTTGTGCATCATAAACAAAATATAGTATCAATTCTAGCATTTTAGTAAACATATTTACTAAATTAGGTGAGTGGTCTCATTAATATCTAATTGAACATTATTAGCTTATTATTGCTTTTGAGAAAATATGCTTTACGAAAAGAAATTCAGATTTGTTTTTCAATAAACAGAGTCAGAACATGGGGGGAATTTCAAAATCATGCAAAGTCCCTCAGTCATCCTTAAACCCCATGTTGAACACAAATTAAAAATCTCCTCCAAAGGTTTTCATTTATAACACTGAAAACATTTGCCAGGAAAACTGCAATGTATTCGCACAGAACAGAAACTGTAAAAAACAAAAATCCCTTTAAACACGGTAGTAAAAACAGCATAAGAAGCAGAACTTTATTCATTTTGTTTCACTATATCAAAGCTTCACAGCATATCTCCAGTAATAGCATTTTGTCTAACCAGTACACCCAGAGATGCTAACTTTACTCCTGAGAGTGTGTGTGTTCCTGATGATGCTGGGATACAGAGATGAACCTAAAAAAGACCTATTCTGACTTAGTGAACAAGCTGCAGCATCGATAGATTCTGCTTCTTTGAGTGATCAAACACTAAACGTGCCTATAAGTGGATGATGAAACAGTTCTCAATGTTTCATTGAGTAGCTGAAGACACTCAAATGGATATGACTAGTTTTTTTTATTGTTTTCTCCTTTTTTAGGTATTTTCATTCAAATAAAAATAAGATGGAAAGTTTTTTTTTTTGTTGGAGCAAGGAGTGGATCTTCATGCAAATCATCACAGCTATCCTCTATTACTTAGTAACAGAGAATAGCTTTCAGTCTTTACTGGGAGCACATGGAGAGTTCATTTTCATTGTGTCTGAAGCCAAAGCCACAGGTGCTGCACATCACAGTGCTGCAGAAGAGATGGTCATCAGTCTAATCTTCATCCGGCCACCTTACTTGGAGCCAAGACAACCTGTCTGTTTTGGCATTGTGTATATTTTAGTTTAAGAAAATAACTTTTTCAATCAAATGTCTCTGTGAGAAGTAGCCTGCAGCAGCACCCATTGTGAGCCATGTCCCCATCTCTGTGCTTCCTCAGTCCCACCCTGTCATTCCAGGTATCCTTAAAACACATCCAGCTCCGGGTCGGTGTCATAAGGTACGGAAGCCGGGTCGGACAGCACCCCAAGGTCCACCAGTGCTTGATCCATGTCCTCAGGTAAGAATACTATCCCCACATTCAGGACGATGTACTCCATCAGAAAAGCATAGTAGAGGATGAGGACGTTCACAAAAAACAGGCCCAAATAAAACATATATGGGAGCTCGTCCAGAAACAATTCCACCGAATCTAGCTGGGCATAGACCGAGGGGATCATAGAAAACTCCAACAACCACGATCTGATGTGAGCAGCGCTGATTCGAGGTCGCTGGTGGTTATCGTTGAAAATCTGTTGAAATTAATGGGACAGGGGCGTCCATTTCTACTCGGCCCGACATGCAGCGGTAACGGGCAGCTTTTCGGCTTCCAACAGTTTATCTGTATGGTCCTGAGGAAAACAGGAGAAAAACAGGCAAAGTGAACGAATATTCGTTCATTGCTAATAATAACCCCCGGACAGTTCAAATATCATTTTAGCTTGCTCGCGCCGTGCCAGCTGGTCAGAGCTAAAAACAGTTGCATCCAAGGTTAGCCAAAACAAAGTGCGGCATTTGTACTTCTTACAGTGCGAGGACACTTATGAAAAACGAGGACCAGAAACCGGTATCCATGAAAACCTTTTTCTTGTAATTATTAATTTTCTTTTTTTTTTTTTTTTTTTCAGGTAAATGTCCCAGGACGTTTTCGCCAACTACACCAAAACATAGCCGACCACAAAGCGACATCTGAGCCTTTGGAAGGTGATTGGCTCCCCAATCACCAGGCCTTACTCTGATTGGGTGGTGAGGATGTCAATCTGTGTACAGGATGTGCGGAGGAAAAATCGTCGCGTGAATTAAGCGTCACGCTCAAAAACCGGCCACGGATTGGCCCGTAAAACCATACGTGTACGGGTCCGTCATACTGTGTGTGGCAAGTCTTTATTGAAAAGCAACGCAATAAAGCTAGAAAGAATAAATAAAGCTGACCTTTGATAGTGTTTATGATAGTGTTGATGTCAACTAGTCTTTTTTTGTGTATTCGGTTGACTCATTTATTGTTGTTTGTCAAATTGTCTGAAATAAATTCCTATTCATTCGTTCATTCAACAATAATTAAGGTCTGGAAAACAAAAATTCAGAATAAAATTCTTCCCATTTAGTCATTTGTATTTTTTATTTTTTTTGCATCATACTAATTGTGCTCAGTTTACAGTGACAGTAGAGATGCAGCAACTGCTCAAAGCCAGCCCTGCTGAAAGAGAGAACAGCCAGAGTGTCAACATAAAGTAAATTTTTGAATATAATTATATAGATTTTCTGACCACCGCTGGAAAACCTGTCAAACATGTTGCTCAGGTGCTTTTTTAAAAGGGGCTTTTCCAAAACCGGAGAAAGCTGCTGGTATAAAGTGCACATTAGTGTAGCACTTCAAAAGTAATAATGGAGAATAACAGAGTATTTATATTGTTAAAAAAATTGTACAGTAGAATACTGTTTTTGTTTATTTTCTTTTCTGTTATTTTTAAACACTTTTCTAAGGTGCACATTTATGTGACCACTTCTACTATAACATTTTGCTGCTGTAAACTCCACAATTTCCCCATCATGGGACAATAAAGGGATTTTCTATTCTTTTCTAAAAATACTGCTGATTACTGAAAAAACACGGCCTGCAGCACATTTCCTTAACCCCACAGGCCACAGTGTAGTGTTGTCAAAAGTTGTATCCGGATACAATACTCATTTAAAGTAACGATACAGTGCTACCACCAATGGCACTTAAACAGTCATTCATCTTATGCGCAGATTAGAGGAAAATGCACTTTCTGAACACTGTGTGATTGAATAATTCTGTGCACTTTTCGGTTTCAGACTTTGTTCTGTAACAGGTGCAGCTGCTGAGAATTATTTTTGTTTTTTAACTGGTTTGGCTAGTGTCATTGTTATGTGTGTAAAGCATAGCCAAGGAAAGAACACTTAATTTTAATTTTGTGTTTTTTATCAAGCTTGCTTAATATTGTGCACAGCATACAACCTCAAAATATTGTTTATTGTATTTATTTATCTATTTATTGTATTTTGTTTATTAATGAAAAAATTTTATCTTTGTTTTTATCCTTGTGGTATCGAAAATGACATCGAATATCGAATATTTTACTTAGTATCGGTATCGAGTTGAAAAGTTTAGTATTGTGACAACCCTACCACATTGTTGATGAAAATCATTGACATCCAAACAGCTGGTGCACCCCAATGAGAAACAGGCATGGGTTGAGAAGGGAGCATCTAAGAACAAGGAAACTGGGGTGTGGAAGTTCAAATCATGAGAGACTTGTGGCCTCTTCGTCACTCCTCCACTCTGTGAGGAAGCTCACCACAGGAGCCACAATTCTGGAAAAAAAACTTTCTGGCCTAGTTGGTCAAAAGTTTAACTTGTTCAAAATTTAACCCTCGGGCTACTTGAAAGGGATGAAAGGATTCCCCCTTGCTAGCGAGCCTTGGATGGGAGTCATTATGGATTTTGTTGACATGGGAAGAGACAACAGGGTGAAATGTTCTAGATATGTGCTTTTTTGTGTTGAGACTTTCACCAGAAGGGTTGAAACTACCCCTACCAAAATTGAGTCTGCTCAATAGGTCATTATGTGGCTAATTGATGACCTCTAAATTAATAGGGATTATTGGATCAAAGCTGAGAGACTATAGGTTACACAGTCCAGAGAGAAGCAGGATGACTGCTTTTACTTTTTGGGAAAATAAAATTCCAGAAGGGGACATTAAACGATTTTGATTTAAAAGTAGTTTAATCTTGTCTTTATGATCACAGACTCTGATTTAACACAGGATGAATCACACTCTGAGCTACGAAAATGGCAAAGATACTGTAAGGAGCTCAACAGATTAGACCAACTTTTATAAACAAGGCCGGAGAGTTCAAAAATAATTCAGATTTGACCTTGCCCTGCTTTTCAGCCACTAGCTTTTATCCATTTATATGGTTTGTGTATATAATTACACTTATACACTACCTGAGCACATACTGATTACTTTGCATTTCTAAAAAACACTAATGCACATTTGTCATTACTTATCTGACCTTTATTAATGTTATTTTACATGACTTAAAATTCTACTAAGTTTTCCTAAATGCCATGATTTCCTGTTGAATAATTGATATGCTGTTTAATATGTTAACATTGATCATACATGCCTTTTAATAGTTACTTAATTTGATGGATTAGATTCATGCAGGTTAAACCGAGCTGGTGAAAGAAGATGACCTTGAAGCACTACTCACACCAAAGAGGCAGATATTGTTTATTGACCCATTTTAATGCCTTTCTTGGTTTCCTTGCAAACACACACACACGCACACACGCCCACACACACACATGCACACACACACACACACACACATATATATATATATATTTCTTAATACCTGGACCGTGTAACAAAAGTAATTTCCCTCTGGGATTATTAAAGTGTGTCTGATTCTGATAAGTGCAAATCAGTCATCAACTCTCAAAATCATTTATTGTTTACAAAAAAAACGTATTTAATGTAATTTGTAAATTTTAGAGTTCCGTTTTTCATGAATTTCATCCCTTGGTTTTCCAAGCAACCTGACATGTACCCGGATGTGTTAAGAACTCCAACTCCCACAATTCCCTTCGTATTAATTTCATGGCGTCATACCCCCTCGGCGCTACCGTCTCCGCCTATCTCCTTCTGTGTGCTACGGTACAAGGGGAAAGTGAGTGCTATGGATTAATGCAACCCCTTATATTTAGTAAAAAGCATACCTAACAGGAAGGGAGCTCTATTTTAAACTTCAGCCATGTTCGGCCGGTCGCGGAGCTGGGTTGGAGGACAGGGAAAAACGAAAAATATCCACTCCTTGGACCATTTGAAGTGAGTAAATAACGTAACCAAGGCTAACGTTAGCCCGTAGTACCAGCCCTGAAATAAAGTTAATAGTGGCTTATCCAATACCTAAATTGATAAGAAAGAGAAAGTCAACAGCTCTTTACTTTGTTGGATACTAATAAAGCAAGCTGTTGTTGCTTTATTGTTTTTGTTATGTGTGAAATGATATGCTAGCTAGCATGTAACGATAACCCAGATATCTGTGGTTATGGATAATAAAACCAATTGATATAAATGAAACTTTCCAAACAAACCTCTGTGAAACTGGACCTGTGTGCCCTGAATAATTAATGCTCAGTAGCATACCGAGTTAACGGCTGGTGCAGCAAATAACAGGTTTATCTGTATATTTTATTGCAAACTTCAGATTACATTAACAGGTGCCCTAATTGGGGGGCGGGGGGTGTTAATCGAATCTGGTATGAACTGTCAATCTTATAAAGATTTAGTTCATATAACTACATCTACAGACTGCTGTCTTGTAAGAATGAGTCATAATAACCATTAGGAAAAAATAGTTCAATAAATGTTTAGTAATATTTAAAATGTCTTCAAGTTAAAACAGAATAGAGTTACATTTCACACTTGTTAAAATAATGTATATGTATCAATAATTGCACAGATTTGTTATTGTTATTGTACAGATTTGTTATTAGTGAAAAAAATTACTGAACATTATATTCTGTCATCTAATTTTTTTGGTAATTATGTTGTTTGTTCATGTTATAGTAAAACTCGTATATTAATAACAGTGATAGATGACGATATAGAAATCCCTAGATTACCTGCTCATTAGTAACTATGTTTTTGGGGTAAAATACAAGTTAAATGGGTCTTTCTTGTGAGGTGCAGTCCAACAGCAACATGTGGGGGAGGGGTGGCCTGTTTTTATGCTAGCACCATACTCTAAACTTCTGCTAGAATCTCAGTCAAATTATTAAAAACATGATGTGATGTAAATTTGAGCAGCTTTTAACCTTCTACAGCTTCACTTTTTTACTCCTTGACCACAGTAATTTCATTTACTTGTACAGTTTGGGGCTGTTTAAACGTTTGTAATCTTCCACTCTGTTTTTTTGTCTCTGTCAGATACATGTACCATATTCTTACCAAAAACACCACTGTGACGGATCACAACCGAAACCTGCTTGTGGAGACCATCCGCACCATCACAGAGATCCTCATTTGGGGGGATCAGAATGACAGCTCAGTGTTCGAGTAAGTCAATGTCCTTTATGGCTTTCTATTAGCAATCATTTTCTTAAGGTTACTACAGTTGGATCTTAAAAGCCCCATTTAAACTACCCTTTTAAAACCATGCCAAGAACGGTCTGAGCACGGTACCCGAGATAACTGTTGAGTGTAAAACTGAACTGAACTGGACCATGCCAACACAACCGAACCAAGCTAAATTTAATGCTAGTTAAAACAGTAGGGCTCGGCATGGTTCAGTTGTGTCTCGGTTCTGTGATGATAAAGAGCGCACGTGCAGACCATGTCATTCTTCTCAGCCTATTAACAATAAATGGCATCATAAGAGCATGGTATGATCAGGTTGATGCTGAGACCGAGGCTCTTATTAAAATTTGGCCGGAAGATGCTATCCAGGCACACAAGTTCCTGAATTTTATGGGTGCTGCCATTTTTGTTTGCGTAATTCCCGCCTTGAGAGCTGTAGTATCTTGGACTGCCGATAGAAGGCGAGGAACCGTGCTAGTGTGATGAGTAAATGGTCGTAAGGAACCAAGCTCGGCATGGTTAACTGATACAAGCTTGATCCGAACTCGACATGGGTAGGTTTAAGAAGGGTAGTGTAAATGG